ATTAACGTGATCTAAGTTTAGCAAACTTCATATACTTGTCAAAAGTTTTATTATTTTTCAGTCGTCACGATTGTAAAAAAAACTACCAATTAGACTCGCTTTGCGTGAAAGCTCATAAATATGGTGGGGTCTAGAAAATAAATCTTATAGTTAAGTATTATATTACATTATAAACCAACAAAAAATAAACCTCAGAGTTAAATTTTGTACTACATTGCTACTGTAGTCTAGTTAGGCAAATACATTCATTTGGTTCCAATTGAGTATAACTAATTTTTATGTCAAACTATTACTATGGAAAAATGTGCAACCTAAAATATTAAAAAATAGACACCAAATTTGGTAAAATTTCAAATTAAATTAAGTTTCATATAATACTACTCTTGCGAACCAAAAAGTTTGTGGGATCCCAAAGTTTGGTCCGAAGATCTCTTTCAGTCTACTTTCCTCTCATTATAAAATAAAGAATTTAACGCATTTTTAACAAAAACAATGTATAACATAAAATACTTTAAGTACAAATATTTATTTAAAGCAATCAAAAATAAATTCTCAGATACTTCGTCCTTATAGGACACGTCGATACAAATATACTCCGAAGATGGTGCAAACCCAAAAATAAATTTAAATTAGTACAGATAATCAACATATGCGAGTCAAATTCAACATATCAATAATTTTTGGTAATTTAACAGCAACCAGCTACCATTTACATTCTTAAATTAACAGTATCGGCTGTATCAAGAACCCATTGGTCAGCATCGTATAAATTGTAGACTTTCATCCGCAAAAGCTTGAAGTACAACTCTTCGTATACCTTGTGTTTTAAAGAAAACTTCATCCAACGTAGGTCTCATTTATAATTTACGGTCTTTTTGCTGTGCGTCTTGTAAAACTGAATTTTTGTGATTAACGCTGGCTTTTTGCAAATTCGTTCTTATAAAAACGTTATTCATTTCTATTTGGGTTATTTTATTTCACTTCAGAAAAAATTTCTATCTCTCACTTCTTAATTGTTCTATTTGCATAAATATGTTCAGCTTTGGATCAGCACCCGGAGGAGAAACGATTAAATTACTTTAGTACGCCTTTAATAAGGAATTAATTTGGTTATTTGATCTTTAATTCTATTAATTAAAATTACACAAAGTCATTTAACTAGCGCCCAACTGCAAACAATGTCTGAATTGTATTGGTGGAAATATCTTTACTGTTTTTCTATTAAAATATAGTACCCTTCTATATGATTGTGTTAGGTGCAATTTTCAGATTATCTTATACCGACACCATTTGCTTCACTCCGTATCAAAAAAAATTGGTTTTACGTCGAGTTTTTGATAAGAAAGCCATAAATGGCGAGTTCTTGTTAATCGATTATTCATATCTTGTTTATTGGCTTACGTCACAAATCGATTCCTACTTGCTTTTTTTCTTCCATAAATATTCTGGTTTATTAATTATTATTCATACATACAACCATACTTAATTAAAATGGCCACTTCTTCAGACAATTTGTTTTAAAAGATTTTGTTTTTATAAAATTTATATCCCACACAACGTCAACGCCAATGCAAAACGTCCTTTGACGTGTCCTTAGATTTTGACTTTATAAAATTGCCGAAAAAAGTGTTAATCGTGCCTAAGTAATTTAATCATCTTCTAATCTTAAAATCGCTACTTTTTATTGACCTTAGACATACTCAACATATTTTTCCTTTCCTTAAATTCCTCAGTTTATTTATCATTTTTCAAGAATCTCTTTATTTTTGTTGGGCGTTTTGGCGCATAATTTAACTTCCAACTATCTTAATATATATTAATAAACTTTTCATCGAAAATTGTCACTAAATAAGCACTCACTGCGTCTGCTGCTTTTCTTTATTTTATATTTTTTGGTTTTTTTTCTATTTTAAAATTAATTATTTTCTCTTGAACCAAGACTTTCTTTCATTTTCTCAACCTCTTTTTTTTTACCTGTCGCAAAAATGCAACAACCTTTTCTTTTTTCAATTGCCATACTCCTCCTTCTGTAACGAAAATCAATATATATAGCACATATTAGTTTGGGGAAAAAGAAATCCATTAATTTTTCGGTAGGTGGCTGCACTGATAGATTTCTCGTAAAGTATCGATCAAACAATTTCATATTTATGCCCGTTGGAAAGGTGACATTTCGCAGTAAAAAAAAATTCTTCTGCTGTTTTTTGTTTGGTGCATTCAGTTGTGAGTTACAGCGTGTTAAAAATGGAAGTGAACAAAGAGAAAATTCGGTACATTTTACAGTTTTTCTTTGACAAAGGCGAAAATGCAAGCCAGGCGGCTAAAATTGTGAATGGAGTTTATGGTTCCGATACTGTAACAGCCAATTATGTGCAATTTTGGTTTCGTAGATTCCGTTCAAGAATTTTTGATGTTAAAGATGCACCTCGCACAGGTAGGCCGGTCGTCGAAAATGTCGATAAAATCAGAGAAATGATCGAAGTTGACCGGCATGTTAGCAGTCGTAACATCGCCCAGGAGCTAAAAATCGACCATAAAACAGTTTTAAACCATTTACACAAAGCTGGATTCAAAAAGAAGCTCGATGTTTGGGTGCCACACCAATTAACAGAAAAAAACATGATGGATCGAATTTCCATCTGCGAAGCCTTGGCCAAACGGAATGAGATAGACACATTTCTTAAACGGATGGTGACTGGAGATGAGAAATGGATCACATACGATAACCCTGTGCGAAAACGATCATGGTCAAAGAGCGGTGAAGCACCTCAAACTGTGGTCAAACCAGGACTAACGGCCAGGAAGGTTTTGCTATGCATTTGGTGGGACTGGAAGGGGATTATTTATTATGAGTTGCCTCCATATGGCCAAACGCTACAATCTGATCTCTACTGTCAACAACTGGACCGTTTGAAGATAGCGATTGACCAGAAACGGCCAGAATTGGCCAACAGGAGAGGTGTGGTGTTCCACCAGGACAACGCTAGGCCACACACATCTACAGTGACTCGCCAGAAACTTCTGGAGCTTGGTTGGAAAGTTTTAACGCACCCGCCATACAGTCCGGACTTGGCACCAAGCGATTATCATCATCATCAATCTAGGGAGGATTGTGAAAATCGACTACTAGAGTTTTTTGCAAATAGAGACCAGGACATCTAAGAGAGAGGCATTTTGAAGTTACCTTTAAAATGGCAACAAATCATACAACAAAACGGTGCATATTTGACCCAAATCGGACAACCCGAAGCATGTTAAAGAAAGTTCTGAAGTTCATATAAAAATAATGGATTTCTTTTTCCCCAAACTAATATAATGCGTGGGTACTTATAATATGAAGGTGGTAAAGTATATTTTATAAAAATACTGACACATTGTTGACAAACTACAAAACAAAAACACATATTTAGATTATTGTTGTTATAAAGGTCTTACAAAAACAATAAAATTGAACGTGTAAATTGAGGTACTTTGATCTGAATTAATAAAGATCAGAATTATGTGTAAGAGGCGGATATAACTGAATCAAAAGAATTACAATGTATCGTGATGTAAAGATTAGTGCTGTACGATAAGAATATAATATATGCGTTTTGCGCTAATTATAGATAATCGTAGTATGAATATATCTTATAAGGAAATGAAATAAACATATAATGTATCATCAATAAATTCACAACAAAATATGTGTATGATTTTTTTTATCAAAAATGTCATACGCCGATTATGCAAAAAGGGCAAACATTAATACAAAAGAAAAAAGTTTACCAAAAATGAAAAAGGACAATTGCGCCAAAGACGGCAAAAATTATGAAAACTAATATATAAGTCTAGTGAAAGGAACAGCAGTTTTTAGGGTCTTCGGAATATTCATCGATAAGCTAAAAAGTAACGTTTGTCGAAAGTTATGTTTCTTTCTTCGTCTGGGCATAGAGTGTAGTGAAAACACAATTAAAGGTTCGTTTTGATGATTATTTATTAATGAGTACTTTACTTTTTACTTTACTTCCGACTTTACATCTCACTTTACTGAACTGTGGTCAGTAATTTATGTAATAAATTATTATGCTAACTTAAGCAAAATAGTGGAATTAAACTAGGCTATTATTAAAGTTACATGTAAAGCTAGACTGCGTTATATTATCTAGCTTGACTTGCAGTATATGGAAATATGTAGAACAAATCTTAACTACGTTATACCTACGTTTACATTATGTGGAAATATAATAAAGTGTGAACTAAGCATAAATGATTATTGAAGGGGTAGATGACGATAAATCGATAATGCTACAAGAGCACCACCTAACTATGATTCACAGCAAACAGCGGATGGCTTGAGCCCAAATGAAAACTTTACAGCCATACTTCCAAAGTTATTTACAAATGTGCTCTCCAATGTCAAATACTGCACCAATTTAGACATGTTAAAAATAAATTTTTGATGCATTCATGTACTATACAAAAAGAAATAGATAAGCTGAGAATAACAGTGGTTTGATAATGATAATTTGTCGAAAATCAAAAATTTCGCGTTGTGTTTACACAATTCTCGAACCCATGATGAACCGAATGAACCTAAAAATTATTTATACAACGGTCCGTCCCACTTTAATAGCGTTGCTCCATGGCTCGTGAGGTAGTTAAAGTTCATCCAAATATCTCAAAAACTTCGATCCATAAGTTGAACACATGGATAGCCATCACACGGGCAGCCAAATATGAATCTTACATCGATTCAAAATCACTTACGGTACAGTAAGAGGTAACATAATCCTTATGTTGCGTACATCCACGTTACCAAAAGTCGTGCAAGGCATAAAAATATTAAACCAAAGTGTATGAACTTTTGAAACATTGGATGATATATATTAAAAGAAGCAGCCCAAAAAGAGAGGAAAACAAGGTACGTTGCTGCAAAGCACTGCTGATTTAATATTTCACTACAGTATTATTTCCAGCAACGCTGTGCGCTAATACAAAAAACATTGCTTACGCAGTTGTAAATGTAAACACACGTATTGAAATGCACACAAAGCCAAAGCAAGAAACAACTAGTGACTTATTTATACAATACTATAAGCACTTCGAAAAAAAGGAAAAAGGTTTTAGTTATTAAAATTTTTATGTCAAATTTAATCGAGCTAAACAATTTTTTCAACTGTTCGCTTGTGCAAGTACCTTGTGAGTTTATCGAAATTTAGATTACTGGAAGTCGATACAAAATGACAATCTTAGCTAAACCATCTTTCGAGAAGAAATCTGAAAAGATATTTTTACCTTTACCTGGATTTGGTAAACGTAATGACGCTTACCATCGAAATTTATTGGATGTAAGTACTACGTAAAAATCTCTAATTTAAAAAAAAAAAAAGTTTAGGTGTTTGCTTACGTGAAAACTCTTGAAAAAGTGAGTGTGTGTACAGATGTATTGATTTATCGCCACAATTATCAGCAATTGCTTTTCGTTTCGTGACTAATGCGCTGATAAACAATTTGAGTTTTACTCCTTGATTCTCTGATAGAGGATCTTGTCAAATCGTTATTTAAGAGTTGCTTTCCGACCTTGAAATATTTCGTTGTTCATGCCTTCAGTAGCCTTCGCATCTTTAGTCTTTAGTCTATAGTATTTATACTCATTGGTACATAAAGTTGTGAATTGGTACGTATGTGAAAAAATAACATTTTTCGGTGCATTCACAGCTATTTGCCAAATCTGTACAACTTTTTTGGTTACTACAAATATCGAAAGATTAGACATATAATTGTAGAATTGTGAAACCTGCCTTGGTCGACAAGAAAATTCAAGATAATTTCGTTAATTTTATTTTTACGCTTTTTGGAAGTCTTAAAAAAGTGGTTTTGAAATTTTCGTGCATGTCGACTACTTAGCGCATTTTTCGAGCGCGGCTATTTACTACTCGCTCTACTGCCTCGGTAATAATTGTTGCTTTTTTTCCTTTTGATAAAAATTGCATTACATTTTTCACATTTCTTGTGTTTTATCATGGCGTCTTACTCGCTGGAAAACATTTTCAATAAAATTTCAATAAAACAAAATTGTTGAATTGCATCTTGAGTAATTTTATATAGTTGGTAAAAGATCATAGCAGTTCAATTTAGTCAAGGAGTTGAACCAATTGGTTTTCATAACATTTATATTATTCCATATATGTAGCACCAAAATTCCTACAACTCATCGGAGGCTGACGTGGAATCGATGCTTTTCAATCGCCCACAATTTTCTTGCCTAAAAACAATTCTACTTTTTTTGATTTCCATTACGGTAATGCTGACCGGAGCTTTGGGCGGTTACACTCTCTATCATATGTACGCGCCAACACACACGCGTATGCACTACCGTGCCCTATGCGATGTCCCTTATGAGCCGATAGGTAATATTAAAGCACCGCGTATTTATCCACGGAGTGACGATTTGGGTTGGTTGTGGCCCCATTTTAATGGCGAAAAAATTGAAAATGTTGGGGACGTGGTGGATGATACCTTCTTCCGTGAAGAAGTCGAAATGGATATGGGCGATGGCGAAAGTTATATTAAGGTGGAGGTGCCCGATTTTAAAGATGGCCGGCATGGGCGTTTTATGCACGACTTCAAGGAAAATCAATCCGCCATTATCGATTCCACAGCCGATCGCTGCTTCATAATGCCATTGGACCGTGAAACCGTTTTGCCGCCGGAAAGTTTTGTAGATTTAATGAAAAAGATGGGTTCAGGTTATTATAATATTGATACTGAGCGAGTTAGACAAACTATGCGTGTGGTGACACCACCCATCACGGATTTATCAACCATGTCAGAACGTATAGCCAACGAATGTTATGACATGAGAATCTATAAACTGGAAACGTATGTGTCAGGAGGTAAATATTCATAAGACGCCAAATTTATTATTTCTATGAAATATGCTCTTTCGTCTTTATGTACTTATATTAATATGCGAATTTCTTAGTTTATAAACGTGAAGCTAAACCGGAGCGTACCGCCACCTATGCCGAGTACTTGGGTAAAGGGATCATTGAATTTGATATCATGAATATAGCCGATGTTGAGGAATACGAACATCAGCATCCGAAATGAATGTTTGAAAAGTTTTTAATTATTTAAAGTGCTGCTTTGACACAAAATTGAAAGCAGAAAACAAATTATATGTGTATTTAGTAACGTACGTCGAAAACAATTATTTGGTGGATCTGAAAACTACCATGCATATAGTTTTTTGTAGTAACAAGTCAGGTTTTTTTACAATCATTTAGCTTGAGGGAAATTCCGATATATTTTCAATACAGGTGAAGACTATATTTTCACGCTTTTTCACGTAATCCAACGCTGTTGTGCAACAGTAACAATAAAGCTATGTATGAATGTTCGAGACTCGATTAGGAAAAGATTAATTTTAAACGCAGCACATTGTAACTTTATTACTTTCATGCGATGTATGAGTGTCACACTTTGTATACATCTATGCTGTTAAATAATGTTTCTATTAATCCTCTTAAATTATTCGGACCTGTGAACGTGTTGAACATTCCTCTTTATCTAATCCCTTTTGTCGTTTTTTTTTGTTTATACTTAGTACAAAATAGTGTTTTTTTTTTGAACAAACTTCAATGTAATCAATGAAAATTGCACATATATATACCGCAAGGTCATCTTTAACATAACATTAAATACGGTGTAGATAGAAGAGAAAAATTGCATGGCTTGTTAAAAATATGTGCTTTTCAATTAAAATTCGATCTTTTCTTAAACGAGCTTAAAATAAATAAGAAGTCGTTCTTGACTTGTTAAAGATTTCGATAAGTAGCAATTTTTTTTAAATCAACGTAAGATATTAAAGTATTCAATACAGTAGTTTTTCGATTGTTGTATGTAATTTTATGTATGTGTACAAATGAACATGTATATATATATATATATATATAATATATATTTTTACTTATTTATTTATGTGTATATATATATATATATGTTTATACATTTATACATATATAATATGTGTACATGTTTATGGTTTATCAACTATCGCGCTGCACATTAGTTTATTGATTATCAAAAACCTTGCAGTATTTCCAAAAATTCAAATGTTGCTTGAGAATTCGTTTGTTTTATTGTTCGTTTCATTTTTCTGGAATTAATCATATGTCTGCCGAGCAAAAATAAAATAAAACTGTGCTCGTCAGCTTTTCTGCTCCTTTGGTTTTGCATAAAAGACAACGTACTTATGATCTGCGCTTCAACATTTAACAGCGTTTTTATTATAATAATATAAAGAAGACAATGGAAGAAAAATCAATTGTAATATTTCTACGTAATTGTGGAGAAAATAAGCAAAGGTGGCCCTATGAAGAAAACTATTTTTGTATTTGTTTTAATTTCATTAAATTGCAGCGTAAAACATTAAAATAGAAATAAGAATTACTATGTTAAATAAATATATTAACAATCAACCAACCTTCAATGTACTCTTTTTTTTTTTTTTAAGTACACGTCGGTTTCTTACTTCATTTCGTTGTTTTCGTATGTTAAAAACAAAATTTATATTGCAGAGTCACTGTTGCCTCATTGTGAAATTTACAACGAAGTGCCAGAAATGATGACAGACAAACACAAGCACTTTAGGACACTTGAAAGATTGCAATGCCAGAATACGGCTGTAAGTCTGCTAATTGCCTTATTCTGTTAATAATGGAATCTTTTAAAGAAACTTTAAAGTTATTTATAAATACTGAAATCAGCTACAGTGAACAAACAGCTAAATTACGCAATCCGTACAATCCGTGGTTAACGTAGTTACATTTAAAGTAACAAAGGTTTAAAACTAATTTTATTGGACTAAATTTATTTGGACTTACAGGAAATTACTACCGTAATTTATTTGGACTTACAGGAAATAAACATCATTACTCATCGAGTTCATCTACAACTCTACGAGTAAACTACATTTTGTGAACATAAATCAGTACATTGGTGGAGAGCAACTTATTAATAAAATTTAAATTTTAGTTGAGATTCAACGTCTCGGTTATAAACACCATTTAAATTATAACATTAAGTCGATGACGCCATTAATGTACTTTACCACAGAAGTAACGACCAATATCAACCTACGTTTCTCGAGTGACAGCAAAGACATAACCAGCAACTTACTTCCATGAAGAGGTAAAGAGACACGACCCAACCTAAATTCTTAGAACAAAAAGCAGAAATTGTTTCTGCAAAGATTCGAAGGTGATCACATAGCAACAGCTTCTACAGAGCTACTTTTTGTATCTTTTCAACAATCTACTCTTAGTACTTTTTATCAGAAAATGGCACCTTTCAGAGTTTTATAAAATGAGGGAACCAAAACCTTTATGTCCATGAGGAATTGATCCAGATCAACATCCGCTTCTAATCTTTTAAATAGGGTGAAGTTACTAAGCGTATGCATTGGCTGACTAAGGATAGAATGGGATGGGCTAGGCAGAGTAGGCTCGACGGCCGTACTGAATTGTATTGATGCGTTAAGTGATAATGAGATAATGAGTTCTCCCAGGTAAGACGAAAGGCGACCAGGAACAAACCGAGACATCTAGCTTGTTAGAGAACATGAGGTGCAAAGTCGGATTTTTTACATTAGGAATATCAGTTGCCTGTAAAAGGCTCAGCTTACGAGAGAAATTCTTTAAATCTACCGGGAATTCCATTAGCTCTCAGCCACGCAATATCAACGTTAGGTCGCCAAGAAACGTTTGGCAAATTTAAGTCGCTAAGCACAATAATGACATTCGGTGACTTCATACTATTCATCACTTCACAAGTAGGTGAGGCACGTTTATTGCAAACGTGAATTTTCGAATTAAGAGAAATATATCTTTTTTCTTAGTGTTATTCTGCAGAGAAGTTCTGAACCTATCATCCACCAGAAGAAAGATTGACATTTCGCTTTGTAGTAGAGATCGATTCAAGGATGTCCATGAAGATTCCACATTTATTGGTAACAGACTTCCAGAGAGGGAATCTATTTTGTCAAAAATATTACGGGGTTTTTGGTAATAAAAGGAGTAGCTTTCAGAGATAGTATCACTGAAAGATATAATCTTCTGGAAAGAGGAAAAATTCTTTATCTTCATCTTAATTAACTCCATAGCAGCATAAAAAAAACCGTTTCGGGGACGGGTCATTCAACAGAAATAACATAGAGGATATATTGAGCGGTAAAGTCCATTACAATGTTTTAACATTCTATTTTCAAATGGTTGTGTACGTTTCTCATATTTTAGAAAATTGTAATATGTAATATATGCAAACTCGATCTAGGACCTCACCAAAAAAGGAAGGAAGGATGGAAGGTTGTAGGAAGTGCACAATTGAGAAAAGAAAATTACTAGCAATATATTATGGCATCGCCTTTAATTAATTAAAAAAATAAATCCGATAGGGATCAATTTTTTACCATCCAAAAAATAGATCTAATAAATCTATTTATTGATTTGTAAGCAATTGCATCTGTTTTTCATTCGAATTCGCTGTACCACCCATTGATTTATAGACAATTGCATCTGTTTTTTATTCAAATTCACTATCCCACTCATTGATTTGTAAATAATTGTACTGTTTAGTGATGATAGTTTGATTTATTTGTACAAAGCACTAAAGACTACAAACCTACCTAGTTGTTATCGCTTCGACAGTTAAATCGTATGGTATATGAATTTATACAAGTGCACGTTTTTTCAACAAACAGCTGTTTTGAGCTGTATTATTTATAAACAACTTAAAAGATGGCAGATTAACGATAAATTTACTGCCGTAATTATTAAGTAAGCGAAAGAAGTAATGGCATACTAAATTGAAGTGGAAGAAATCAAAAATCGAGAACACAAGGTGAACTCTTCTTTAACGAAAAAAGATAGAGCAAAAAACAAATTGACCTGCTTTAAAAACGCATTACAAGTAATTAACACGAACCTTCTGGTCTTCTTAGTGTATATATTTGAATTTCAATAGAGGAATCAATCAGTCTACGTAGCTAAGTTTATCTTGCGATTAATGCTTCTTTAAAACTTCTAGCAAGTGGCAATTTAAACACCATCCCTTTGAAAATCATCCAATACATGCCCACGAAACAGCCAAAACAGATAGGCAGATAGATGACATCTATGTATGCAATAACAAGATCGTTTCGCCTTATTGTTTACTTAGTTGATTCAGCTAAGCTCGCTTAAAAAATTAAAGAGCATTGTTTAATATGAATCAATGATTTATTGTATACAAGTGTCAATTATGCACCCACGAAAGTCGGGGACGTCTTTGTTTGAATGAACACTACCTACTAGAGCATAACCTAACATATGTTCATATGTTTTTCGTATGTTTCTTTCTTACTTCCTTTTGGATTCATATGTTCTTCATATGTTTCTTTCCTATCTCCTTTTGAATTCATATGTTTTTCGTATATATCTCTCATACCTCTTTTGAATTCATATGTTTTTCGTATATTTCTTTCGTACCTCTTTTCTGCAGAACTACTACAACCAAAACACTTATCATCAATACAGGCTCACTCCTTCAATTATTCTCAACTGGAAACAAATGGAGATTACCTTTTTTAATATTTTCCAGTCAAGCGTTTGTGAGCCATTGAAACAAAACCATGACTCAAAATAATTGCCAAGCAAAACGTGCAATGGAGTTATATGGCATGCCACGGGAGAATCTATTGCCTAAAGTAAAAGATCTTTCAACTGATGAGTTGGAAATACATGGTATTAATATAAAAGGATTTCTATTCGATCTTGAAAATTGTCGTTCCAGCAAACCGTATTATACGGCTAACAGTACTTTTGAATCTATCGAATTTATACCTTGGGCACTCTGAAGAGACCTCAGTATAATAGTTAACATGCGTCATGAGGAGTGAATGTGGAATAGTATGTTTAACCTGTATGGTTAGGTATGCGTTTAGATTGTACCGTTTGCGGAGAAGAGACGTTTTTTTTTTGCTGGAGGTAGTTGTGGTGGTGATGGTAGAGGTGGCCGAGCTGGTGATAGACGTCGATTAAATGTCCTGCGGAATGTGTCTAAGTTTTTGTACATACATTTTTATATAGTTTCATTTATTTTCTATTAATTTAATCCTATCTATTTAATTTAATTTAAACTTAATATATAAATTTTTTTTTTTTCTTGTAGTACGCTGGCCGTCATTTCTTGATTTCTTCCGAAATTTTAGATATACATAGGTCAGACGATGGATTCTTTTCCGCTCAAGAGGATAAAAATTACTTAGTTAAAACATCAAGTAGAACTCAAATAACGACGCTTACTAAAGTACAAACACCTTTGTCCCATTGTAATGGTGACATTGAAGAAATCCAACAAATCTTAATTACGGATTTCAAAACCCTGCTCCCAATAATCTGTGCGAAGCGCGAGATTTACAAAACCGTGGATATTTAGTGTTATACGTTTGCAAATGGCAGGATCAGCAAAACAATTTGTTTACATGTTTTTCAAGATTTTTATGAACATCTCTTACACAGCTACGACATAAATGAATGAATGGTAATACACTTAATTCTACATATTATAAATTTAAACTGCTTTCCCTCTATCTTTAGTTTTATTTCTATCTATTTTCAGAGGTCCTAGAGACCGCACAGTGGAAGACATCACAAGATGTTCAAAATTATGCGAAAATCGAACGCCAGGTCTCTAAAAATTGAATAAAGTTAGTCAGGAGACGTTCAAGGGGAGATAAATGCTCTTTTTTTATACATTTACATATATAAGATTATGTATTATTTAAAACCACTTGTACGAATATATACGAAGAATTAACACAAAATGTTCAAAAATATACGAAAATCGAACGCCAGGTCTCTAAAAGTTGAATAAAACTAGTCAGGAAACTTTAACAAAATGTTCAAAATACTGAGAACATATACGCCATTTTCTCTAAAGGCATTATTGAAAAAAGTAAACAAACATATACGCTCACTAAGGCTTTGTTCACTGTCAGGGCTTTTTTGTGACTTCTTATTAGTCGTGAGTTTGATAATATTGATTCTCTGCATCTCTTTTATTTATTAGAAGTAGAGATGACCTGCTGTCAGAAAAAATAACAAACCTTCTGATACCATCGGAGATAGAAACCTTAATAGCATGTCGAATGGCGAGCAACTCAATAAAAGTTGAGGAAAGTTCCTTCGCCACTGACTCGATGTACTGTTTTAGATAGATGTTTCACGACCAAGAAGCCAGATACATTATATCCGACGGAACCGTCAGTGGCATATATATCTCTGAAAATTACCAGAAACAAGTGTACAAGTGTCTGAAAATTACCAGAAACAAGTGTGCAAGTGTCTCAGAATTACCAGAAACAAGTACATTTTTAACATGACGAATTTAAATTTCAAGTTAACAATAACTAGAACTATATACTAAACCTTATAGACTAAATGTTATCCGCACCGCATCAAATTTATATCTGACTAAAGATTTGTATGCAGTGAAAGCATTTTTGGGAGGCAAGCCTAACTGATTGTTAGTCATGAGTTTGATAATATTACATCCAAATCGACGGTCTTTGAAGACTTTCTCATAATCCCCACAAACAGTTACACTATTATTTACAATTCTGCCAAGAAATCGAAGAGATTTCACCTGATTAACTTTAGTTCTTTTGATTTAATTCACGTTTAGAACATTTAACAAAATAAATTGTATTTGCTTTACTAGGATCAAAAAATAGATTAGCTTTTATCGAGAGATTATTCACGGCCATTGAAAACGTTGAATTCGCAGATACAATGTTTGAAAATGTGAGTTTTGATAAGTGAGTTTGCATATTGAAAAATATGAGTTTTGCCATATTGGAGGTCACGCAAATTATCTGATTCTAGATTGAAGACTATGGGGCTCAAGCAACTGCCTTGTGAAATACCACCGTCTACTCCATTACCAATACATGTTTGGATAAAAAAGTTAGTATTCACAAACGTATTTGAAGGGGAATTGAAAAGTTTAAGGGAATTCTACTAGGCTTAATTAAGTTGCCACAATCATAGGCTTTGCTGATGTCGAACATCAAATCAATGGGTGGTGTACGAGTTCGAAATATTTACTTGAACTAATTGATGGAATCGTTCTTTTCTCCAGCATTTTCCATTTCAGAATTTGATGAGTCTTCAAAAATAACGTTACATTACATATATTACACATTAAATTAATTAGCTCGTACTTACCATCATCAATGTCAACATCTATATCCTTGAAAAACTTTACGTCTACTTCAGAGAAAGCAAGCGAATCAAATTTTTTCCACTTTTATTCAGAAATCAATATAGTATATATTACCAAATTTCGTGGCGAGATATTAAAAATTTTCAAATTTTATGCCCTGTTATATACAACATTTATGGGAGTATATTTAATGCCCGTCGTCTGGTGTCTGTTTATGTCTTATTATGTTGAATTCACCGGTCGCAAAGTATAACGAACTTTGATAAACCGACGTACTTTAGGCCGATGTTGCACACTATTGAAAATAAAAATTCCACAATGAAAAATCTTTATATATTGAACACATCCATAGAAGCAGAAAATGTTTCTGAATCAAGCGCTATAACAAAAGTATGAAATCCTTCCGGGTTTTGCTTACATTTGCACAAACTGGATACATCCCTGTTGCAATTAATTTGGGATGTGCATATTTTTTGTTTTTTGGATATGGTGTTAAAATGAACTAAGTGAATAAGACTTGTGACTTAAAAAACTAATGATTATTTATTTATTTATTTATTTTAATTCTACTTATACATGAAACTCAACTAAACAAATAACAGTCGAGCTCAACTGGCTCTTAATGCAAAACTTATATTAATTAATAATAAAACTTAGTATAAGTACAATAACAACAAATAAGAAGGAAAAAAACAGAAAAAGAAAAAAAGCATGTACACAATCAGCATAGAGCGACACTTACAATCGGTACAGGATCAAATTGCAAATGAACCCCTAAGTCATCGCAAACATGCACAAGTCTGGCAACCGATAATAATTAACAATAATTCATTTTCGAATCGTAACGAATTTTTAAGGATAAAACCTAGTTTAAGTACGACATAGGTGAATCACGCGTATTAAGTAATGTTGCTTTAATGGAATTTAAAGAGTCCGATAACGAGAATAAGTGATAGACGTCATTTAGGTCTCTGCAAACGACACGGAGCGGATTAAACAACTAATAATTATATTTACACTGACTAAGCTTCACCAAGATAAAGTGCCTAGAGAAGCGGTTAGGGACACTAAAGCTTATTTCACCAAGTAATGAAGGCGAGTCAAAAACGTTTATTACTTTGATTACAAAGGAAACGCCAAGAACAAACTACGTCTCTCAAGAGACGGTAAAGACAGCAGAAGCAACCTATTTTCGTAGGGAGGAAGAGAGGCAATCGGATCCCAACCCAAATTTCTAAGGACAAACAGCAAGAATTGCTTTTGAACAGATTCAATTGTGTCTACATAGCACCTATATGAAGGAGACCATACAACAGAGGCATACTCGAGTATGGGTCTAATTAAGCACATGAACAGCGTTTTCGTAATGTAGGGATCATCAAGCTCTTTGGACCACCTTTTTATAAAACCAAGCGCGGACCTAGCTTACTCAGATTTAGTTTCAGAAGGTTCACAGAGCACCATGCAACAAAATTAATCAAATCACCTTGAAGCTGATGTGATTGCGATTCAACAGAGAATGAAGAAAACAGTTTCACATCATCAGCATACATTAAGATCTGGCTGGAATTGACCACCGATGGGAGATCGTTAATGTATAAACTAAATAAAATGGGACCTAAGGGGCTACCTTGAGGTACGTCAGATATAACGGGGAATTCATCCGATGTGATAAAGTTGAACAAAACACTGAAGGATCTATTGTACAGATAAGAGCTTGTCCATTTCACTAAATAGAAAGGCAAGCCAGAGGCTTGGAGTTTAAAGATAAGTAAGTTATGGTTAACCATATCAAATGCTTTGCTTAAATCAGTGTATATAAAATCAGTGCGAGAGCCGCTAGAAAAAGCTTTGTAAACATGACAAATAGACTCTAACAAATTGGTGCTTTCCGAAAGTCATGCTGGTATGGAGAAATATACGAATTAATGGCAACGGCCAAATGCTGAGTCACAATTCGCTCGAACACCTTAGACACTCAAATTGGCTATGCCCTTGTAGTTTTCAACTAGTTGTATACTTCCACTTTTGTTAATAGGAATAAGGGCAGTACCCTGCTAACAAAAAGGGAGAACACCTAAATCCAAGGAATGGTTAAAAAATTCTGAGATAACGCCACTTAACTCGACAGCGCAAGATTTAAGTACACATGATGGAATTCCATCAGGTCCAGACGCACAACTATATTTTAGAGAGCTCAACCCTTTAAAAACGTCATCTTCAGAAATAACCGAACTGGGAATTGAAACCAAATTAGTTGTAGGATATGGGTAGATTGCTGATAAATCGAAATTAGCAGTCAAAAAGTTTCTTAGTATTCAGCAAATAGATTTAAGATTTCAAAATCATCCGAGGAACCAGAGCTATTAGAGGAAACATGAGAGAGGTATGTGGAAATTTTTCTTTTAGAGTTAACAAATTTAAAAAAGTATTTAGGTTTAGCAAACAGAGAGGATTTAATGAACTGAAGGTATCTGCAGTAATAATGGTGGTTGAGGGAGTTAAATTTATGCCTCGCCACTGAGTAAGCGAAAGAGTCGACCGCAGAGCCACTTTTCGAATATTTTTTGAATAGTAAGCTTTTTTTATTCTTGCAATATTTAATTGTTTTGTTAAACCAAGAGGGACACCTGCTTCGAGGTCGGCACTGTTTGATCGGAACAGATGCAGCAATAGCTAGATTTAATTTATTTATTTATTTATTTATTTATTCCACTTATACAAGAAACTCAACTAAAACAAAATGGCAGTCGAGTTCAATTGACTCTTAAGTAAATCTTAAAATTATTTAATAATAAAACTTAGTATAAGTACAATAAAACAAATAAGGAGGAAAAAAAAAGAAAGAAAAAAAAAAAAAAGCATGTACACAATTAGCATAGAGCCACGCCCACAACTGATACAGGACCAAATTGCAAGTGAACCCCTAAGCCATCGCAAACATGCATAAGCTTGGCAACCGATAATTGTTAACAACAAATTAATTTTCGACTCATAATGACAAAATCTAAGGTTAAATCAGTTTAAGTACGACATAGGTAAATCGCGCTTGTTGAGCAATATTGCTTTAATAGACTTTAAAGAGTCCGTTAATGAGAATAGATGATAGACATCATTTAGGTTCTTGCAAACAACTCTGAGCGGGTTAAACAGTTCAAAGTTATATTTGCATTGACTAAGCTTTATCAACATAAAGTACCTAGAGAAGCGGTTAGGGACATTAAAGCAAATCTCACGAAGTAATGCGGGCGAATCAATTGCACCATTTATTAATTTGATTAGGAAGGAAACCCCAAGAACAAATCTACGTTTCTCGAGTGACGGTAAGGATAACAGAAGCAACCTATTTTCATAGGGTGGAAGAGGGGAAATCGGGTCCCAACCCAAATTCCTAAGTGCAAACAGCAAGAATTGCTTTTGTATAGATTCAATTGAACCAACGTAGCATCTATATGAAGGAGACCACACAACAGAGGCATACTCAAGAATAGGTCTAACCAAACACGTGTAAAGCCTTTTAGTAATATAAGAATCATCAAGCTCTTTGGTACACCTCTTTATAAAACCAAGAGCGGACCTAGCTTTGCTTAACGAGGACTCAATATGCAAATTGAAACGTAACCTATAATCGAATAGAACGCCTAAATCAATGAACGAATCGACGTCTTCCAACCTGTGCGAACCAATGAAGTATTGGGTACTAAACGACTTCCTTCTTAAGAAAGAAAGCTTCTTACATTTATTTAGATTTAGCTTCAGAAGATTGAGGGAGCACCATGCAACCAAATTGTTCAAATCACTTTGAAGATGATGTGATTGCGATTCTACGGAAAAAGAAGTAAACAGTTTCACATCATCAGCATACATTAAAATCTTACTGAATTTAATCACGGAAGGCAAATCATTGATGTAAAGATTAAATAAAATAGGTCCCAAGTGGCTACCTTGAGGTACGCCAGACGTTACGGGAAATTCATCCGAGGTAATGAGGTTAAACAAAACCCTGAATGATCTACCATACAGATAAGAGCTTAACCATTCAACTAAGAAGAGAGGAAAGCCAGAGGTCTGGATTTTAAATCTAAGAAGTCTATGATTAACCATATCAAACGCCTTGCTAAAGTCAGTGTAAATGACATCAGTGCGAGAACCACTAGAAAAAGCCTTGAAAACATGAGAAGTAAACTCCAACAGATTGGTCACCGTAGATCTTCCCTTTCGAAAACCATGCTGGAAAGGAGAAATATACAATTTCATGGAAAAGGCTATATGCTGAGCCACAATTCGCTCGAACAGTTTAGGTAAGACACTCAACTTGGCGATGCCTCTGTAGTTCTCTACAAGTTGCCTACTACCACTTTTGTGAATAGGAATAAGGAAAGAAGTCTTCCAACACAAAGGGAAAACACCTAAATTCAAAGACTTATTAAAAATCTTTGAGATAACATCACAAAGCTCGCCAGCACAAGATATAAGTACACATGAGGGGATGCCATCGGGTCCAGGCGAACAATTATATTTCAGAGAGTTCAATCCTTCAAAAACGTCATCTTCCGATATAACAAAGTTAGGAATTGAAACCGCATTAGAAATCGAATATGGATAATTTTCCGATAAATCAAAATTGGCAGTTGAAAAGTTCTGTCGGAAGTATTCCGCAAATAGATTTGAGGATTCAAAATCATCCGAGGACTCGGAGCCATTAAAAGACACAAACGACGGGTTTAATGTATTGTAGAACGATGACATTAAGCTTTCAATACTTCCGGTTGAGAAATCAAGCGTCATAAGTGAAAGACGATGTTTTAGCAATACAATATTGATATTATGAAAATCATAATATTTATTTAAAAAAGTTTGATTTGGCACATTAAAACAGTTCAACGAACCATCATTCATATGATGAAAGGAAATGCACATTGATGGATGATAAGGATCCTCAGGTAAACTAAAAGGTGGACAACGATTTACGTTAATCTCGGGAAAATTGGCAAAGCAGAGATCAAGCAGTCTACCATTACAATTAGGGGTACGATTATATTAAACCAAATTAAGATCAAACAATTCATTAAAGAACACACCAGACGTTGAAGTAGGAATCAAACAGCTAGAATTATCATTGTTACACTAAATGACTTGAGGCAAATTGAAGTCTCCCAACGCAACTACCAAATCGGTGGGTCTAGACCGCTTGGCCACTTCACAAATGAGGACAGCATGTTTGTTATAAATGGAGATATCAGAATTTGGGGGAATATAGGAGCAGGTTATAAATAGATGTTTATTAGGCATTTTTCACCTTCAATGTTTCAGGTGCCAGTCTTGACACAAATATTGCTTTTCTGGGAGGAACTGCCTTCAAGCAAATGTCATGACTTAGAACAGGAGGGGGGTTCACGGTAGGAGAGTTTAGAGTTGGGGAGAATATAGATGGGGTTATCGCCCTTGCACCGGCAGCTTGTGAGACTTACCCAGTCCGGTGACCAGCGTTCACATGCGAACAGCCACTTTCAAGAAATATATATCAATAACAAAAAGACTGCGGCCACGATATGTTGAGGCCAATATGTTAAAAGAAATAGTAGCGGCAGCTTTTGCTTAGACGTCAGATATAAAGATGCACTGTGCGTTGTATCAAAAGCGCAATTTGGTGAATCGGTATGACTTAACTGCAATCATAATGTGTGTGAGAGATGTGAATGGTTATTCAATACTTCACCAAGTTTGACAACTTACCATTTCTGAACTACTATTACTTAACTCAGGATCGGCGTCCTGATTGGAAAGGCCATCATCAGTGTCTGGCGGCATCTCAATGTCGCGTTGAAGAGCTGCACGAGACTGAGATCTAATACGCAAAGCCATTATTATGAATGATAATCTTAGCTTTCAGTGGTCGCAGATTTTTCCAAAGTTGTGCTCCTATCTGCAATGCTTATATAAATTACTCTTGGCTTTAAAAGCAATGTCACATATACCACAAGGGAACGGACGTTCGTTCGTATGAACCCTTATATGTTTTTGCAGCACCGAAGGTTTTATACAGCTCATACTGTAATAATACATGGCGTCCAATACTACAAGCGCTGATAGTCACTGAGTCACTAGAGTATTGAGTTCGTTACAAACTTCGGCAGTCTGTTATTTGACGTATTGCTCTTCGCTGCCTGTTCAGTACTAGGTTGATTTTATGATTTGTTGACGAAACCATTTGTTAACGTGGACGGATGAGCCAGCGTTATCCCCGGATCAAATGGGTTATTTGTTGAAATACGATTCGATACATGGACGTTTAAATGTAGAGATTGAAAGTGGCAGGGGTTGTTTAGTGGTTAATGATAAAAAGACTATATTAACGAAAGAGAGGGATCCGAAGAAAACAAGATGGGCAGACGCGCTTAAATCAAATCAGAAAGTGATCGATCAGAATAATAAAAGTGGACCTATCTCAAGTTCTTCTGAGTGTTGCGCACATCCGTACAAACTTAATAAACTCTTGTACCTTAAATCCTGTTTGGTATAAAAATAGATCTAATACTCTGGAACTGGATTAAAAATTTCGGGTGTAAAAAATCGAACATTAAAAAATAGAAATCGTCTGTACAAAGACAGCAGGTTTAACGCAAATATTTTTCCTTAGGAAACCTTTCATTCAATCTGAATCGACTTAGCTAGGACAGAAAGAAAAATAATTGCATAGTTTAGACTCCGAGAAATTGTAAATATGCAAAAGCAGACTTGATTGTATGTGATTAATTTATGAGCACAGTCAAGTTTTACAGTAGATGCGATATGCGCAAAAATTCGTTGCAGTCGAAATCTGTATATGTACGAAATGTTTGATATATAATCAGTACGAAGTCTTGATTTGAGCTGTTGGGATATCTTAGAGCGAATACAAAAGTCTTACTATAATTATTAATCTTTTTGTCTAGTGATCGTTTTGTTTTTAAATCTTCTTCAAATGTATTGCCAACTTATGATATACCAATCATACCAGACTTGGCTGATTTTAAGGATAACATATTACTCAATGAAATCCTCGAAACACCTTCGTAGGGTTTTCTTTCAATTTGCATCAAAAATGTTTTAGTTATTGCTCGTTTTTTAATTTATAGTTTCACTTGACTGGGCCGTTACTTTTAAAGAATTAAACTCGGATATTAATGCAAAAATCGTACCGCAATGTGGAAGGTGCAGATTTATCAATACTAACAAAGTGTTTGTAAGCACCAGAGAATTAGGACGAGCCAGCTTTGGGAGTGGGAGAAATTATTCACCGATGTGGTAGTCGAAATTAATGCTGATAAGTCTATGTCATCAAAACCATCACCACTACCAGTGGTGTTAACCTAGGAAATGATACGTGACTTAAGTGAAGCATTTTCTTTTTTTAGAAAAGCTTATGTTGAATGAACGATTGTCAAAACGAGTGAAAGGAGGCCTATTGCAAGAAGAATAAACTTTACAAAGTGTTTTGCAGTTTCAGAAAATCATTTCGAGTTTTTTAATAACGTTAACATTTGCTAGACAATATTACAAGAGGATATCGATGAGGCCCTTCACGAGACGTGTCGTAATTTAATCTAAACGAATTTGTTGCTTAAACTCTTAATATTTCTTGCATTTTCTATAAAAAAAAGACTAAAATAACGCGAAAATTTTCTGTGACAATATATGTTTTGCCACGTTCCTCGATATTTGTGCTCAACATTTGCGGAAAGTTTAATTTTTTTTATATCTTCAACAAGGGAAATATAGTACAAGTTAAAATAAAAGCCCGCCTACAATTTAATTATTTCACAACCTCATGGTTTTTCGATTTTTTTTTTGTAAGATTGACTGGACTCAATCAATAAAAGATATGTTCATAGAGTAAAGCATGCATCAAAATCACTGAAGACGTCAGTAGACTGTGCAGATGTAAAAGTAGTGTTGTAAACTTTGGTTGAAAAAGAATGGTTAAGAGAGTTGAACTTAAAAAAAAAACAATTATCGTGAATTAAAAACAAAAATTTGTTAATAAAGCAAGTTTCTCTCAGGAATTAAAGGAGGTCTCTGATAAAGGTTTGAAGTTAAATGTGGTATTTATATTATAAAAAGGGCGATTGGATTTGGCATGCGCAATATCTTTAAATTCACAATTTAGTTGTTGAAAGATGTGGAATGCGAATTCCCCGTATTGCTTCCTTGGGAGTATATTTGATGGACGAAATTGTATCATCAACTTCAACATTTTTCGTATGAAAGTCGGCCTTTTAATTTAAAAAAAAACCGCTGTGACCAGGTATCCAAACAAGGTGATCTCCACTTGAGATTTGTATAATATTCTGTGTATATTGAACATATATTGATTATCTGCATCTCTTTTATTTATTAGAAGCAGAGCTGAGTTACTATCAGAAAAAACGAGGAAAGTTTTATGACGATTCATTATAGCTGCATTTACAGCATGTCTGATGGCAACCAATTCAATAAAAGTCGAAGAAAGTTCCTCCATTACTCCGACTTTATGCACTGTTTTAGATAGACGCTCCCTACCGCGAAGCTAGATACTGCATTAAGTCCGACCGAAACGTCAGTAGCGTATATATCATAGCCGTTGTTGTAACAAAGAAGTTTTTCTTGAGATAAGACCCTCGCTCCCATCGCAGGGCTGGTAAGTTTTACTGTCCAATCCTTTTTCTCTTGTAGCAAGTACTTTGTTATTCTGCTTTTAGTACGATAGGGATGCTGTACGCTATAAGTGAGAGTAGAATGGAATGGTACATCACATCCGAAATAATGACTGGCTTACTTCGAATATGATCAACTAAGCGATTGGCAACGCCAATTCAATTTCGAAAAGAGTCATAGCGGAGAAGAAGATTGCACATCCTCTTCCTCCTGAATCTATCCACCGACTAGGCAACACTAAATAAAGTTGACAACCACTGACGATAGGTTATTTAAGTTAAGGCATTGAAATTTTAAGTTATTTAGTCTCTAGGTTCTTTATGGGCAATTGCACCATTTTCTTTATTATTCGAATTATGTACTTTAGTTAAAGTCATAAGTTGATTAATAAGAGGAAATTAAATTATAACCTCAACCGATATTAGAATTTTTATTCAAATGAGAAATATAAATATTAAAGACAAGGACGACTAGAATAGCCTTCGAGGCATGTCCTGGCAACAGAATTGAAAATAATTTTCGCAAATAGGAAAAATTATAATTCTCACGGTCTTTCTGGTCCCCTCTTAGTTAAAAAGTTTACCCTTTTTTTGACTTTTATGCTAAATTGTCCAGGAAACTATACCATTTCGCTTTGTTTTCTCAGCTTTGCCATAACTTGACTGTCGGAGTTAATGCGGGTGGGATGCTTCAGCATTCAAGAACATGTTTAAAGATAGGATAATCTGCTGTTGGAAATATGGAAAGAGTATATCCCGTAGGTGTGGCTCTTTGAAATCTTGGGCTGAATATATCGTTCCCAGTTTCGCAAATCTTCAATTTTAAGGCTTTAGTGTACTATTTATGTACTACTCAGTTTCGAAAACTATACATTGACCGGCACTTCCATTGAGTCCCTAAGATATCTCACTCAAACAAATATCTCTCTCTCTTTATAGTTATAATAAGAGGTGGTATGCCAAAAAGCACTTTCAATGCATACAAGGACCAAGACAGTATAGCCCCAGTCAGTCCTGTAAATGCGGCGCGCTGAGTTCTGTGTAACTCTTTTAGTGTGTGGTTTTTTTGTGTTCATGCAATTTAGAGCCTTATCACTCAGGTGTTTTACCCAGTGTTCTGAGTTATCAGCGGCAGGCTTTACTCAGCCGTTTTTTGCATATTGGCCATTCAGTAGTTCCCAAAGAGATTCTCTGGCCTTTCAGTAGTTCTAGAGAGATTCTCTGCAAAGTTCTTGCAAATCCTTCAATCGATCCTACCTGTGCTACGTGAATAGTTCCCGCTATCTAATAATTGGGCAACGTTAATTAATATCTAAAACTTAGGTGATAGGAGGTAGCCTACTTAGAACTTTAGCTGTAGACGGCGAAAGATGCGATATCTTATTTAAAAGAGTACGAGGAAAGTAGTTATTCAACTTTTGATGAGATATAATAAACTATGAAATTTTAATATACATTTGTTATATATTTTTGTTGAATATTTCAGCCATAATTACACAAGTAAATACGCTAAACTAAAAACAAGTAAACACGCTATAGTGTGTCACGGCGTACTATTAAACAGACTTTTTAGAGAAAGCGTTCATATAGCCTGTGGTCTGAAAGTCGAACTCACCGTATGTCTTCGTGCCAAAACACGTCAGTATATCGGATTTCATCAAAATATCCCAAATGTTGTGGTGTGCAGGTTGGTCATAAGACAACAAAATATACAGGCGGACAGGCACGGTGTAACGCCCGCGTATATACATATAGGGGTTTCTGTCGGTCGGCTTTTTCTCTGCAGTCTCGTACCGAATCACAATTATGTCAAGTGTGTTTGAACGGAGAAATTGATTAATTTTTTTTCCATTTAAAAAATACAAAAGTTTTGAATTACCAAAGAAGGTCGGAGACAAGATAAGGAGTGTTTCGGTAAAGGGCTCTGAAAGTAATCCAAAGTCATAACTACGAAATTTTCTTTTAACGACCGCCCGTGCAATTTGTAAAACGGAGATTTTATTTACTTATATACAAACTTATATAAACTTGCAATAACTTACAGAGGCTTTTAAATGTGCTATAAATTCTTGGTAATTTACTGTAATTTTATGCTCTGTTTATGCACAAAAGTAATAAGAAGCGATTATCGATAGAAAGATATAAACATCAAGAAATGGTTTTTAAAGCTAGTTTTGCAAAAAAGAAATAAACGAAAAAAGAAGCCAACAGTCTGAAATGCATGTTTTTTGCTGCACCTCGAAGGGAATACAAGCGGCAATTTAGCAAGGAAAACGTCATAAAGAAGAGCATCACACCAAATAAGAAATGCATCGAAAGGAAGAATTAATTAAAATTAAACGAAAATTAAAAAAATAAATAAATAAATAAGAAAAAAAGTATATTATTTTATACTAGGCTTAAGAAATAAAAAAAAAAAAAAAAAAATGGCATAATAATAAGAAAAAGAAATTGATGTCTATTATGACATTTGTGAAGTAGAAGAATAAGTTTCGCAAGGATGAGGTGAGTGAATATGTGTGTGTGTGGGGATGTAACCACGGACGGTGACTTAATGAACCGACAAGTACATAGACACAGACCAAGGGATAGGAGAACAAAGCTGATCAAGACTAAACCTGATAGGTTGAAGAAATAGTTATAATTTATTATTGTAAATATAGCTGGGCTAGCCAGGCGACATAAAGTACAGCTACAGGTCTATATAAATACATCACAACGCTTAAATCAAATGAAGGTGATAAGAGATGGACTTATCTCAAGGTCTTATGGGTCTTGTGTACATACGTACCAACTGGCGACCAGTATTACACTAATGACTTAACATTAAAACTTTTTCTTAGTGCACGAGAAAAAGAGGAAAGGTGAGTATGACCTATCTAAGCTAAATTCTACTCTGAAATTTTTGTTAATGTTTGAAACTTAGTTCACAGTTGTTCTTATTACACAAATAAATATTAAATAGGTAATTACAGTCGCATGTGTCCTTCATATTAGCATTACAGAACAGAAATCCAGAGCACAAAACAAAAGAAATTAACAATAAAAACCTTTATTCAATCATGCACAAATTTTTAATACGTTACGTAGCAGCAGAAGTTTTAGAAAAAAACAAACAAATTCGACTTCGTTATATAATTTTGCCCATTGGCAGTTTATTTGCACTTACTGCTGCTATGGTTGGTGTAAATTTGTGACCTTTTACAGCTTTCACCTTTATCGGAGAGAATAGGCAGAGTACTGATGATGCGTGAAAAAGTTAACTTCCGTTTTCTCCTTTCGGCTGACTTTCATTTATTTATGCGATAGCATACATTATTGCTCGATGACTCTTGTTTTTTTTTATTTACCCATTCGCAACACCTCTAAAGTATCATTTCTCATTAAGCAAATCAAAATATATATATTTTTGAACAAAATTTTCCTCCTTTGTAAATGCTTGCAATAAAATTTAACATGAATATTACTTTGATATATATAGTTAAATAATATTGATAAGTAATTGAGCAACGCTAATCAATATGTGAATATTAAGCATAATGGTTCTCCTGCCTTACATTTTCCACCGTATGGAAACAAAGTGAAATTCATTGGTTTACTTATCCTAAAAAGAAACGTGACTTGTTGAGGTAATGTTTCTGTTGAAACCAATAAACAGTGGCATTTATTCGGCGGTTTTATTAAAGCATACAGATGTCATTATTGCTGGTAGGGTCTCAAGACGTTTTGTTCCCATAATGCTGAACTAATTAGTCTGTTGTGGATAATATGTAAAATGTTCAACGGTATTACCACTTACTCGATTCTTTGTTTCGTTCGCCTACGTGATTGAAGGCATTAGATTACGTACCTAACAGCCAAATTTTTCAAATTTTGTTCCAAATCAGGCGACGCAGTTCTGACCCATTTTTTATAACATAACTCGATTTTTTTTTTAGAATTAAACGAGATGGATTTAAAAACCTTATAAATCTAATTCTTTTGAGTTTTGCTACGATACCAGATGGATTTTGCCCAGATTATTGGCTTGAGATTTTCTTATGAAATTATTAAAACTGACGTCAATGTGTATTATAAATAATTTGCAATTGTTTTAGTTTATAGTCCGTTAGTGATCACTCAGTGGCGGAAAGTAATTAAGTGAATAAAAAGTGAATGAATCAATAAATGAATAATAACTATTACAAAACATTTAAAGAAAAACCCAAAAGGAAAAAGTGGAAGTGAAAAAATAATTAAAAGAATAAAAGTATTGAATAAACAAGTATGAAAATGTTATTCCGGTGGGGCTGAAGCTCGCCTACCCGCCGCCATTAAAATTTTTGGCGCCGCATATTGTCATGAAAAAGTGAATGGATAAAATTTATCTTTTACGTCTCAATTTACCAAAAATATTGTTAAAAAAATTCATCCACCATGTCATGATGTCCACCATAATTAATTTAGAATTGATACGCTTAAATTTTCGCGTTTTACTCTTCAAGCTATCTTATTTGACACTCTCATCTGGGCGGTATAATAACGAAAAAATTAATATATTATCTCGCGGCGTCGACCATAATTGAGCTTGAGTTAACACACTTAGCTGATCGACTACTATTCTCCAAATCCTTTTATTTTATACGTATATCAATGGCATTATTAAGAAAAAATTAATCCACCGGCTCGTCGTGTCCACCATATTTATTTTAGAATGAAAGGATTTTTAGGCAGGTAATCTTCATTTAACAAATGTAACTTTAAGCATTGTCTTGTTTACCTTATGATTTAAAATCATAGTCTCAAAAAAAAAAAAAAAAAAATGAAAAAAACAAATTATTCACTTCTAACTTTTTACCGGCAAGGACGATTTTTTCCAAATTTATGTATAAATAGTAAAATGTTCCGTAAAGTGTACGTATATATGTAGGAATATTTAGCCTTCTATCTTTTACAATTTGTAAGTAACGACCAAAAACCCACAAATTTTTGTTTAGAAAAACGGAGCTGTATTCACTTAACGGTGAGCTGAAGGACATACAAAGATAAAGAAAGAAACTAGTTTGCCTTCGTCATTGTACATTAAGATGTGGATGGACTGGAAAGCCAAAGGCGCGCAGTATGAAGATCAATAACGTAGGTACCCTTCGTTAATAATTATTATTTTTCATATAATTATTATAACCACTATATTGTTGATATTTTTATATTATTTTATTTTATTGTTATACTGTATAAACAACACACTTTTTAATTTATATATTTTCAAAATTATAATTGTAGAAATCATATATACCTTTTGTATTTAAACAAATATTGTACTTCGTTAAGTTCAGAAATAAGACCCGAGAAAATAAAATCGAAATTTGACATAAAAAATAACAAATCCTTGTCCATTGCAAATGATCACAGCTCATTTAAGTCAAAAAGTTTACTAAAGCAGCGTTTACGACTTCCGTACGAGAGTCGCTACAGAAACCCTTTAAAGTATGAAAAGATGTTCCTGATAACGGTTGATCTTCCTTCAAGTAAACCAAAAAGTGGACAGAGTTTACTATTTCGAGAAATTGACAATAAACAATCCAGCATTCTTTTATTCAAATTAAAAATACGATTGATAGATTTATGTCAAATAATTCATTGAAAAACAAAATAGTTCTATCAGAAGTTGAAGTGTTGTTTTTACAGCTTGAACTATCACTGTTGACTGTCTGTAAGCACTCTGATCATGGAAGTAACATTAGTTACAAATGCAACCCTGTAACATTGTAAAATGTAGGGCTGCCAAATTCACTGACGCCAAATGAATAGCTACAAGAATAATTGGCACGCCTGAAATATGCCTGAAGAAAGAAAAAGTGAAAAAAATGTGACTGACAAGGAAGAAGAAGAGTTAGTTTTGGAGTGATAGGAAATAAAGAACATTAAAGAACGTAAAGACCCGAAAAAGAATCATGAAAGCTCGAAATTATAAATGATCGAAAAAATATTTCAAAGTAAAAAGAAAATGAGAATATTTATACGAAAACTTAAATTATTAAAAAAAGGGCATTCAAACATGTTGTCCGCTGCTTAAGGATACTTTATAGCTTACTGTTTATTCTCAAATTATAGACACAACTATTTAGTTGCGTGTGGGTTTATTCTTAATTTGTAGGCACAACTATTTAGTTGCGTTTCGGTTTATTCTCAATTTATAGACACAACCATTTAGTCGCGTGTCAGTTTATTTTCTATTTATACGCAACAATTTAGTCGCAAGCCGAATTATTCCCTATTTATACGCAACAATTTAGTCGCAAGCCGAGTTATTCTCTATTTATACGCAACAGTTTAGTCGCAAGTCGAATTATTCTCTATTTATACGCAACAATTTAGTCGCAAGCCGAATTATTCTCTATTTATACGCATATAACCAGCTGTAATTTGAAGAAAGTTCTCGGATTAAAATTATGAACACCGGCAACTCTGTTCAAGCGCTGTGGTCATATTTTTCTCTTTTTGAAAAAATTTTTGCAATTTATTCTTCTATTTAATTTCTTTATTGCGTTACACGTTTTTAAAAGTTCAAACTTATTAAAATTTATTGAACTTTTTGTGTGTTTATTGCGAAAAGTGTTCATCGCGAATACCATACGTGTTTTCCTTTCAATACATTTAAAAAAAAAAAAAAAAAAAATTAAAAACATCTGACATTTTATTCAGTAGTTTCCCAAACCTTTTCAAGTGAGTGGTTATTTCACAAATAATAAACAATAGACAACAATAAGGCATAATGGCCCTGGGACCGCCAGATAAAAACTCGAATAGATTTCATCTATTAAATGATACATCCCCCCAAAGAAAAAAAATATAAAAATTCCGATTTTCCGGTGTTGTCAATTAGTGACATCACTCCTATCGATAAAAAATAGATTATTATTTCTTTAACCGATGCTAGAGTAACAATCTCCCAAATTATTAGAGAAACTTAACTCAGTTAGAGGCGTAATTTATGCCCCTTGCTTAAAGCGTGAGCCGGAAGATGAATTTGTTCGCGAAATGGGCAATCAAGGAGTGACTAAAGTATATAAATTCACCAAACTGAATGATGACGGAAAAACACGCTCTCCTACAGGACGGATTATTTTAACCTTTGATCGCTATCGATTACCGCGAACAGTTGATGTGGCGTGGTATATATGTAACGTAGAACAATACATTCCACATCCTATGAGGTGTAAAAACTGCCAACGCCTGGGTCATACGGCAAAAAGATGCACGAGTCCTCCATCTTGTGCTAACTGTGGTCTTCCTCCACATGCTGAAAGCTGT